TCTACTCGGTTTTGAAAATGGGACCTTCCAGTTCTAAGCCCCGCGGTCTACCGATTGAGTAACCTCAATCCAAAGCAACGTGTAGTAAAGTCCCTGCTCAAGGAAATTTGTGGTAAACATAACAATTTCGCTCCGCAGAAGTAGGTACTTCCTCTGTATTTCCGGGTTCGAAGTTAGCCTCATATACGATGTGTCGCCACGCAAAGGTTCTACCTGCTTAAACGGTCGCTTAAGGAGCTGATAAGTGTAAGTAATATGAAAACTATTGTTACGAGGTTATTCATGCGGACGGTATCTCAGACCGCTGGGACAGTTCTTAAGAGCATGTTAGTTTCCTACTCTAATATCGTGCAGGACTGGGATGGGACTAATTTGCAAAGATTTTTACACTCAGCTCTTGCATTAATATCGAGTCTCCCACACGAACAGCCGAGATAGCGTAAGATGGAGCACTTTCAATCTTCCTGAAGCAATTTCGATGACATATCCTATGAAGGTCCTTAATAACAGTCAACGCAGATTCTATAAAATGTGTTCTTTGTCTAAACTTTTTGGGCAGGAAGTCAAAATGTGACATGATGTGAGCCATGAAGTTTCGCGCATACGCAGAGCAGGTTGGCCTGAGTTCAAATTCATTAAAAGCATTTTCTTCCGGAAGACTATTAATGCAACATAGGCCTATGTATTTTGCACAACCATATTTTCTGCGATGATATATCAGCGAAACATGATCCTTGACGAAAGTGAAGGAACGTAAACTGTCTGAGATTACTGTGTGAGATATTGCTCCAGACTTTATTCCCCGCACAGTAATTAAACAGAAAGCCAGAGTGACAGTTAAATATCGCGACAGGGATGGAGAGCAATATGCGATGGATTGGAAACTGCGGTTACCCAAGCCATTTTATATGACTGCTGAATACTGATCGATTAAGCTGAAATTTTTTTTAAATCTATCCGCGGTACCTTTTGGCTTAATATATGTCTATTCCAAGGGAAGTTGTCAGCTAGTCTAGGCACTAGTACTCTATTTTCGAAACAGCTATTCAAAGTACGAACATAGTTTGGAAGGAGACATGCGATGGTGTTACACTGTTCGTTATGTAACAGATTCGCTCGGACTGTGAAAGAACATTTCTACCCAGCCTCTTCCATTCAACATTAAAAATTTCCTCACTGCATGTTAGATCATTTCGCCTCTGCCCCGTGAGGTAGGTGGTAGTGAATGAACTATGATTTACCGCTGTCATTTAACCCACGTTTAACGCCGATCTCACGTGTTTTCTTGTTGTTTCACGTCACGAAACTCTAGCACGATATCATATGTTGCAGTTGTGATTGTCGTCGAACTACACAAGAGCTCTGTGGTACCTCTCGGCTAGAATGTTTTAAAATTCTGATCGAGTTAGTACCCTCTTTCTTGGAGTTCTATAAATTCCCATAGGTACGTTTCAGTCATATATGATCGGAGCTTGAGAGCTCAGATTTTCAGTCAATCATTTGTCGTCCT